TGAAATCTGCTCCGCACCCTGGAGTCATCCCTACCCTGCTTAAAGCTCAGTTCTGTGCATAGCATAAAAAATAGATGTTTTACGCCATTTGAGATATGTTGCCGCCACAATGCCCCCGTATCTTGCGATTGCTCCGGTTACTCTGGAATTTTTTTTGAAAAGAAAATCGGTTGCTCGTTTTTTTTTCATGTAAGTGCGAGCTTTTGGGCTTTTAGTGAACACAACCCACCTCTATCTTTTTCTTCTACAAACTTCTCGCGTGGCAATAGAACCTCGATTTTGCTTTCTTACAGAGATCTTCCAAATTTACTTTTTCTAAAAAATCCTACATTCGGGCTTTTTGGTCCGGAATTCATCACGAAACTCGGGATTTGTCCCCGACTTATGATGAACCACCAATAGCTTTGTCACGCTTGTGTTTTTGAGCACTCACATCAGTTCATCCCGAAAAAACAACCATTTTTGGTCCTTGTCTTCCTTCCCATTTGCATCTTCTTATTTAATGTAGCTTGTAGCACAGAGCCACAGCGCGGTATTTCCTCCGGACAGATGTTACACTTCGTGATTTTGCCGAGTTGCGCGGGCTAAAATTGCAAAGTCTTACGTTGCCTCATAGATGAAACTCGTGCCTAACCCTGACATGCCTGTATACTACCCTATAATGAATAAACCACAGCACACACATTCAAAACGCAGAGTTCGAATGGAGCCCTTTCTACGCTGTGTGCATTGGCCTTCAAGACGAACTATGACCGGAACTGTGCGTAGTAACGTGGTGCCGGCTGTATTGATTTAAATATTACCTTTAGCTTCATTTTAGTTACGGCTAAATATTTTTGGTTTCTTCCTTCACTTTATGTTTGCCTAACACAACTTCTGGTTTTGTTTGGGCGCACCAGCTGTGCAGATTGTATAAATAAATAAATAAATAAGCATCCTCTTCTTCTCTCAATCGTCTTTATATGGAAGCGGCCCTGAGTGCTGATGAAACACCGATTTATCTGCTTTCAGAACTCCTTCTATGGCCAATGTTCTGTTGCAAGACTGCCGTGCACTTCGAGCTTGTTTTCTCTACGAATTTCTTCAAGGCCACAAAGCAGCAGTAGCTCACCGCAACTTATGCCGAGTGCTTGGCGAGGGCTCACTCCAGTACGATGTAGTGAAGTTCTGGTTCCGCCGCTTCAAGAGAGGCGACTATAATCTCGAAAACAAGAAGTCCACACCAGGTCGCCGTCGCTTATACGATGAAGACGACGGACGACGATGATGGTGAAGATGTCGACGAGAAGTTGATAAAGGAGTCCCCATCCAGTATACGTGAACTCTCCTTGAAACTCGGGCTCGCTAACGCCAAGGTACACCAGCATCTTCTTGAAACTGGAACGGTCGCAGGGAATGATCAAGAACTTCCGAACGAATTGTCCGATTTACAGAAGTTTACCAGCTGTGACCCTGCAGAAGAGGTAGAAGCTGCGCCAAGTAAGTGAAATAATACTCCAAGTAAATACTATTTTGTTTGTTATTTTTCAGCGTGACATTAAAATAAGAGCTGTTGGTTAAAGGTAAAAAAAAACCATTATTTGATTGCTTTAGGTGTACCAGCGAGCGACAGCGGATGTGCCATACACCTGGTGAAGGAGGAGGCGATGGAAGAGGAAATTGCACCATGTAAGAGCAATGTCTGTTATTGTTACTGTGTGTAATTTGGACAAGCATCGGGTACCCTAAACCTAAGACATCAGGTACTTCAGCGGATATCAGTGACTGTGCAAGAAATCCGGCGCTTTTTCAAGCTTTGACATCTGACAGCACACAGCCAACGACGTCCAAACCAGTTTCTGAATCAGCGCAAGGTACCCTTTTCGTCTTCTTGACCAGATAGATTTTTGAACCATCATGCGTGAGTTTAGATCTCAATCGACCTCAATCAGCTGAGGAAGGAATTCCTGGTCAACGTCGCCAATACCACATAAACCTGACGGGAGAGCTCTTCCGTGGGGAAGTCGAAGCCAGTAAAAGAGGTGTTCATCCAGTGGTCAAGTACACAATTCCGGGTGAGTGCACCCAAAACAAGAAGTCTTCCGTAAATGCAGAGATTACGACAGGGTGAATGCGCACATTGGGAATTATGTGCGCAATTGTAGGCAGAAGCCAGGCAGCAAAGGAGGTGTGACATTTCAGTGGAAATCGGCGGAACTAATTGCAGCGCAATAATTTTCTAAACCTTGAAACTGTAGTGCTCTAGAGCCACTCCTTCCACCAGAACCGTTCATTTTCTTCTGAAAGAGAATTTCACTTCAAGCGGCTATTTTTCACACCGTCAATATCATTCGTTATCAATCAAGGATAATAACATTGATTCGATCTATTTGTTAAAGTGAGAGATTACGATAAGATTGAGCTGAGTTCATAGTGGAGGTAGGAATGCTGAATAATGCCCCAGTGGCGAGAAAAGCAAAGAAAGTCGTCTAGAACGCGCAAAATGGGAACCCCTTCTTCGCCCGACGACCTCCAGTTGGACGAGTTAACAACCAATTAAGTTTGCATATGTTAAACCGATAGCCACTATCATTCCAGCAAAGATAATACTTTGATTTTTTTGGCGGCGGAGCTCAGCGAGGAT